GGGATCATTGGTTAGGTGTGGCTAAGAAGAAGGGTTCGCCGAGGGATTGATCTCCTCTTCGGGGTTTTCTCATCCTCGGAGAAGTCACCTCCTCGGAGAAGTCACCTCCTCGGAGAGGTCACCTCCTCGGACAAGGTGGTTAGAGAGAATATCCCCCATGTGCCTTGCACATGGGCTCCATCCTACATCATGAGGTGCCTATAAATAGCACCCACCCATAGCTTTACAAGGGATGGATTTTGGGAGATTTTCAACTCTTGGGAAAGAACTAATTTCCCTTCTCCATTATCAACCTTGAGAGTGAAAGTGGGAGATCAATGGGAGAGCCTTGCCATTATTCTATTCTCTAGCCATTTTGCCTTCTTCTTCACCCAATCTCTTATCTCCATCATCTCCTTTATTGTTGTGTTCCTAAGTTGAGATTATTGAAGAATCTAAGCCTCTCATCATATTCTAGAGAATTCGAAGTTGTTCTTCAAGGATCTTTGAAGATCTTCGAACTTTCCAATACCTTTCTCGAACCCTCTCCTACAACCACCAACTCATTTAAAAGCTTAAGCTATTAGAGAGAGGCACACCTTTATTATTTATATTATCAACATGCAATGAAGCAATGACTTTCACCTTTTATTTGGATAAGCAATGAAGTAATGATATTCAATGCAATAAAGCACAAGGACATTCAAAGTTCCCTATGAAGTACTTGAAAACGGAAATACGTAAGGGATTAAAAATTACATTTTTTTCAAGGGAAACAAGAATTTAATACTTAACAATGATGTGAGACACTCCATTCTTAGTTAATACATAGAGCATACTTAAAATATTGTTAAGGCATGCCTCTAGAAAGATTGAAAAAAGAAATAACAAAACCCTCAAAGATAAAGCATGAAACATAATAAAGCATTGAGTTAATTTCAAGGCACAAACCAAGCAACACTTATTCTAAGTTGACTATTAATTAAGTCGTCCTCAACATTCAGGTCCAAAAAATTGACTATAGCGACATTAAAAGAACTTCCTATAAAATAGATGCAGACTCTATTTGTTAAGTAAACTAGACAAGGCCCATGCATGAAGTGTGTCGGTCCTATCCCATCAGATTCATTTTCATTCAGTTACTCCATGGGATCTACTGAAATTAAAGTTGCATTAGGCAACTAAGCCATGTATTGAGGAACTCATAGGCAAAGCATAGTGCTAAATACCAATTATTTTTCTATAGCTTCAAATTTTCCTTACCTTGATTTTAACAACTAATATTGCTATATAAATTTAACATAACAATTTCAATTTCACATAAATAAATTCCAATCGTTACAAAACAAAGTACATTTTTCAAAATAAAATTGCTATTAAAGGATATTAAATCACAAGTGATACATTCTATATTTTTATAAAATTATTATTAATTTTATTTACTTAGTTATTGAAAGTTGCTTAGTAATAGGAGTTATGAGTTTTTGTGGTTTAATTTGGTTTCTTGGTACTTATCTATTTGTTAGGGTCAGTTACACACAATCTTGTATTTAGGCCTAGTTTGGAAAGACTAAATAAGTGCACTTTTTGACTTTTTATAAAATATGGGTTGGGTTTGGGTTGAGTTTGAAGTGATGTGTTAGAGAGGTGATGTGACTTAAATAAGGTGATGTGACTTAAATAAGATAGTGACTTTTTGACTTTTTGTCTTTTTTCAATCATGCCAAACTTGGCCTTAATACGTATTATCAATGAAAGAATGAGCTGGAGATTTTCTAAATTAACTTCTTGTGAAGTTTATGGAGCTTTGGTTCCTCTCAAATTGAACCAACATGAGGTCTTCGCCCTCGAAGTGGTCTTTTCTTCCTATTTTTTCTATTTTTATTTTTTTTAACAAAAAGGTTCGTATCAATTGGTATTAGAGCCATCGATCCTTAGCAATGAATTTAGCACAAGATGTGGTGTTAGGGTCAGTTACACACAATCTTGTATTTAATACATATTATCAATGAAAGAATGAGCTGGAGATTTTCAAAATTAACTTCTTGTGAAGTTTATGGAGCTTTGGTTCTTCTCAAATTGAACCAACATGAGGTCTTCGCCCTCGAAGTGGTCTTTTCTTCCTATTTTTTCTATTTTTATTTTTTTTAACAAAAAGGTTCGTATCAATTGGTATTAGAGCCATCGATCCTTAGCAATGAATTTAGCACAAGATGTGGTGGATTCAGTACGCAAGGATTTACAAGAGATGGAAATGATTAAGAGCACCAAGTCGTTTAATAAATCTTTAGATGAGATTAAAAGGTCGATTACAAAATTGAATTATTATGAAGAATCAAAAAAGACGAATGAAAAAAAAAAAGAAGGCAGATCTTAAGAAAGTTGATAAGTACTTATGTTTCAAAGTAGCAAAAGAATATTTCATTGCAATGTTCAAGATCAAGTCTTGATTGAGTAAAAAGTCAATTGCATGTTTGTAAAGTTTTAGTCCGAAAAAACTTAGGATCCTGGTGGATAATATTAATTTATGTTTTTTCAACCTTGACAGGCTAATTTTAAGGGGTAGTAGGAATGATACATTTTATATTTTTATAAAGTTATAATTACTTTTATTTACTTAGTTGTTAAAAGTTGCTTAGTATTAGCTATCTATCTTTTAGGTTTAGTTACGCACGATCATGTATTTCATATCATACAGTATTATCAATGGAACAAGATAAATTCTTAATTAACTTCTCGTGAAGTTTATGGAGGTTTGGTTCTCCTCAAACTGATCCAACATGAATTTCTTCTATTTTGATTTTTATTAACAAAAAAGTTATTATCAACAATTGAGAAGGCACACAATTGCAATTACATGGCTTAAAAAAGCTAAATTCAAATCTTCTTTCAAATCATTTCCATAAATTAACACCAAAATGCAGAGCAATCTACAGATTTCCCAAAGAATTATCATTATTTGGTACATAAAAACAACAAATGAAACAATAAGGACACATAAAAATCAATATTCTACGAAGATCTACAAGAAATATAAAAAATGTGAATTCGATTTCATAAATTCTAGATTTTCATGCATGTACATTATAAAAAAAGATATCGTAAAAGATCTGAGAGACGAACCGGCAATGAATTGCAGAGTAATTGACGAGAACAATAGCAGGAAGCGCAACGATCTTCCTCCACAGATCTCAGTCATCTCTCTCTCTAATATTCTCTCTTTCTCTCTCTAAAACTCTCTCTCCCTCTGTATTTTGCCTATAAATTTTGGATCATTGTTTTTGTTTTTGTTTTTCTTTCCTGCAACATTACGCTACCGACGCCATTTTGTCAATTGATAAGGAAGACATGTGTTTCCGGTAATTGTATTTGGTGCCTACTTGTTTTAATATTTTGTGTTTTTACCACATTATTGCTTCTGTTTCAATATTGGGACCCTTGCTCATGAAAAAAATGTTGTCCAAATATGAGTAGCAGATTTTCATTGGGTTTTTAGTTTGGGGGGTAATTTTTTATAAATTCTTCTTTACCTACTTATATTTCATTTAATTCATATTATTTTTTATATTTTAATAAGTCTTATGAATAACATAGTTACCAAAATATCTTTAATAATATTCACATTTATAGTGTGAATGTTCCGTGATGTGAATATTCACATCATCAATGTGAATGTTTATACCATCAATGTGAATGTTAACATATCAATGTGAACATTTACACATCAATCTGAATATTCACATTGTAAAATATGAATGTTTACATCACTAAATTACTAACCGTTCAATTTTTTTTTTGTAAGGGTAGAAATGTCTATTTAATACTTTAAATATGAGAATTAGGATTTGGTAGATTAAATGTTCAAATAATAAGACTTACTGGAGTACAAAAATATTTTATAGACTAATTGGGATACAAACACTTGAAAAATGATTTTTTTAATAAATCTCCCTTTAGTTTAATATCTTAATATTAGGATTTTATAAGATAAATAATATTTAATATTTTCATAATAGTTAGAATTGCTTAACATTTTTATAAAAAAAAATTCAAATCTTCATAGAAAATTTTATTTATTTATTTTTTATAGAGAAATTTTAACTTCACAAAAAAAATTGTAAGGAGATTATATTTTTCTAATACTATTTTTAAAGCGATTTTAGCTAATAAACAAAAAAATATATTAAACCTTGTGCTACTTAAAATTCAAGAGAGATATTTCATTATTTTTTTTAATTTTTAATATGATATTGCAAATAGACTAATTAATTTATTAAAATTAGACTTTACTAAATATATATTTTAAATTATTAATAATATTAAAATAAATATTTATATGAGGATAGGAACAGGGAAATTATTACCCTTACAATGACTTATGCCATTTCTGAATGAAAACGAGAAAATATGGATTTTATATTGTATTATTTGTTTATATTGTATATATTGAATAATTCAACCACTAAAAATCACATATCAACCACCAATAAACAAACCATAACCATTTCTTGGTTGATACGTCATTATTGATTAGTTAGGCGGTAGATGGGAATCAGGTAGGCGGCGGCGGCGGAGGATTTAGCATGTGTGCCTCTCAACTTTTCAAAAATTACTGTCTATGCTATTATTTTCAAAATATCTTCTAATATGTACCCTCTACAAATTATATCTATATATTTAGGAAAGGAAAATGCGTGAGAGCTCGAAAGAGCTCCAGCCCGAATCCCCCGAATACCAAAACGATATCGTTTTGGCAAATTTTTTTTTTTCTTTTTCTTCTTCTTTTCGTTTATATCTGAAACGACTCCGCTACGTAGCTCGAATCACTACAAACAAGATCTAATGGGTTAGAGTGAGAAGCTCCTCATTCTCTCTAGAAACTTTTCGTTTCTAGGGTTTCTGCATTCAATTCTTCGTTGAACTGTAAACAAGATCTAGGATGGCAATTATTCATTCTATCTCCGATTTTAATGTTGCTGGTGTAGGGTCGGATGTGAATATTGGATCATCAAGTTTTAGGGATCAATGATGAAGGGAATCTAGCAGTTCTACATCGTAATGCTGATTACGAGCAGGTTGATCTAGTTAGCAATCAAGAAGGGGACGTTATGTCACAGAAGGCGACGGAGTCAGGACCTTTTGGGAAGAATTTTCGTGGTGGCTTTCACGATCGTGGCAGAGGGATTCGTGGAGGCAGAGGTACATATAGAAAGGAATCTAGATCGTGGGCAAATGTAGCATCGACTTCTGTTAGATCTGAGGTAAAACTATAGTACTTTCCTCCTAAGTTGTCCCAGGATAAGATTGTGGTGGAAATGCCACCTTCATCTCCTCCTGCCAAATGGGAGACATGTTTGGTTGGTTATTTTATTGATAAGCGATTACCTTACACCTTAGTTAGTAACAGTGCTTTCAATATGTGGAGAAACAAAGGTCTATTAGAAGTTAAAATGAATGATGATGGATTTGCTTTTTTTATGTTTGAAAATAAAGATTGTTGTAGGAATATCCTTGATGGTGGCCCTTGGTATGTTGGGGGTTTTTTGTTGATCCTAAAACAATAGCATCGTATGATGAGGTTGTCTAAGGAGGATAAAAATACAATTCCTGTGTGGGCTAAGTTCTATAATATTCCGTTGGAATTTTGAAATGGGGATGGTCTAAGCAGGAGAGCTAACGCTGTTGGCACTCCTTTGTTTATGGACCAACTTACAGCTTCTGGAAATCGTATTTCTTTGCCCGTGTCTGTGTGAATATACAAGCAGATTCTCTATTTCCAGATAGTTTTTCCATTACAAGCGAGGGTGATTCTGTTGAAATTCGAGTTGAATATCAGGGGGCTCCATCTAGATGTGCCCATTGTAATGTTTTTGGCCACGAAACCAAACAATGTCTCTTTGCCCAAGTGTCCAAATTAATTGAGTTACAAAAAGAGACGGAGAACTTAAGTGGGGAAGAAGTTGGCTGGACCACTGTGAAGAACAAGGGGAAATGAAAGGTAGGTGAGCCTTCCCAGGAGATGGAGTCTGTGGCACCAATTGAGGTATCGAGTTTATCAAATGTAGGCATGGTGGATTCGGGCAAGGACCGTGTTAATACCTACTTGGAGGATGTGGTCACAACTACAGACTCAACTGCAGTTATTGTTACCAAAGAAGTAGCATCGCTAGAGGATGAAATTACAACCAAGGTGTAGACGTCCCCGAACGCCCCGGGAGGATGAGTCCCGTTCTGTTCATTTGGGCTCACTACATGTTCGGACTCTCAAATTGTCACGGTTCTTAATCTGAACCAAAGAGTCCAAATCCAGCAAATCGTTTTGAGAAAACAGATTTTTTGAAAGAAGTGCCAAACATGGACTGCTTTGCCAGATACAGAGTCGCCACCTAAATGTTTTATTTTGGGGAAATTTAGGAAACCCTGACTCGTTTGCCTAAGGCCACGTGTCCGTCATCACCAAAGTTGCCTCGGCTCGGGAACTTGGGTACGATTGGGGAAGGTCACTTCGTGAGCACCGACATGAAAATGACAAATGGGCATATACCAACATGAGTGAGCCTCAGCCACACTCACATAGGAGGCCATCAGATGAAAACAAGACAACTCGAAATGCATGCACGCGTGCACGCAAACCGAGGACCGACCCTCAGGCACCGAAATGCCACTCTAATGAGACATGGCAAAGACATGGAATATGATATGCAAACATGCAAAAATCAGTAGCAAAATGAGGGACAAAACAGCCCCGAAACAACTACCTCCCCAACCCGATGCATGGAATTTCTCCCGAAATGCAAAATTAGGTACATGAAATGGCTTACAGCTATACAAAGCATGCATAATTGGTACATG